ACTCCTCGGTAAGAAAATAATCACTCGCGGGACAGAGTCAAAGGGGGGGGGGGGGGTACTATGGACGCTAACGTGAAAGAAGGTAGTCTACGTGCGGTGGAAAGGAAAAGACGGAGTGTGGTAGGTACAGGGCCATTGTCACGCCGACGCAGTAAACACGGGAATATCCTTCGAGGGGATTACCGGCCATGCAACTGCAGTACTGTACCGGCCGGGGCACTCCCTACATACAACCGAGGGGGCGAATTAGAAATTCTAACGAAGATTACGGCGTCGAAAAGCTACTCGCTCCGGCATCTGTTTTTCGCCGAGAGCGATCCATGCATATCAGAGTGCAGGCGTTGGGGGTGAGAGATGATCCCTACTTCCGGGGGGGGAGGAAAGAGAGCTTTTCGATCGACGGACTCGCGCGAGAGTAATTTTACAGAGCCAAGGCCGAGCTTTTAGGGAAAACAGGTAGAACACCCTTTCTACGCAACGAGTGCACGAGTTTGAGTTGCTATAGAATCAAGGGGGTGCACGTACCGGAGATTCGCGTTTTTATCCAACAATAATATGGATGTACGAGTTACAGCTAACTCGCTGTTATACAATATTCGATTAGGAGAAGAAAACGAGACAGTCGAGGAATAAGCACGCGCGCATCAATATTTATACGCAACGCCGACTAATCTTTGCATAATCACATACGCGTGAATTTCTCGTCAGCAAGGCGGTGCAGGCGCGGGAGGGAGCCACCCCCGTATACATTTATAGCCTAGTAGTAATTATGCATGACTATAATGTATACCACGCGTGTGCGCGTCTCTGAGTATAATGCACATCACGGCGAGATCGGTAGATTACGTGTATACATGTATACGGGGCGGGGGGAGGGGGTCGTGCGATCGCCTGAAGGGGGTACGGGAAATTCGGCAATTTCGAGGAGAAGCTGCTACCGCGTGTGGTTATCGTACACGGGCTAATCAAAACGGAAGTGCATTGAATAACCATTTCAATCTAGAGGCCATTTTCGAAGTTGTCGACAATGGAGGGAGGAGAAGGGCGAAAAGGGAGACGTAAGATGACGGAGGGAGCAAAGTTTGGCTACCGAGATGATGTTGTTGTTGTCTGCTGTTGCGCCGAGTTTTGAAATCTTTATTATGTGCCGAGATGAATAGAGTCTGCGTTGCTGGAATTTCTCGGAAAATTCGTGCCCTTTGTTGCTTACTCCGTTGGTTGTGGTGAAACGAACGATTTCCACTGATTGCTTTCGTATAGTTTATTGAGAAATAACAGAGATTTCATAATTAACTGTTTTGCGGGTTCAACAAAAAAAGGGGTTAAAATAGAGGAAATAAAAGTGAATTTCATCCCGTTTATTTTCCTATCCGTTGCTTCAAGATTAATCTCATATCTCGGTAAAAAAAGTACCTCAAGTAAGTCCTCTCTAGTATAATAGGTATAACTTGGACGACCCGCTCTTTTGCCCGTGCATGATAATTTTCCGTCCAACTCGACCGCGAAAATTCAAATAAACTGAAATTTCCAAGGGAAGAAGCGGAGAAACCGCGAGAGACGCTCCTTTCGATTCCAACCACGTTCATTACAGCGCGCGCTCGAAATATGTTGGAAAATCCCCCCCGCACGTACAGCTCGGCGCCTTTCAAAAGTGAAACGAACGACCGGAGCACTTTTTTCGAAAATTTCCCTCAAAACTTTTGTCCCCCCCCCCAACTCGAATCGGGCAAGTGTACATTATCCGAGAAGACAGAACTTCCTCCCCATATTTTTCGTTCAATCCTTGTTACTTCTAAGCCCTGCCATCGCCGTAGAGAGCCCCTTTACTGCCGATCGACGGGATTTCTTAGAAAACCTTCCACCCAGCAGGGCTGGCGCGCTTTTAAAACCGAGGCTCTCGCGGGGAGTCGAAAAATTCCGCGAGCGCGGAGCTCGTTGTTTCTCCCTTCGTGCGTATACGGCTGGAGGTAGGGGGGGGGTAGGGAGCACTGCAATGCGCGGCGTTTCGAAAAAGCACGTACCCACCAACCGCAATTTCCATCGTCGTTCCGGATTTTACCGCTCGACTCGTCCCTTTTTTTTTTCTTCTTCGCGGCAATATTTCTGCATTAACCCATAGGTCCTCTTTGCCCGGCTGGTCGTGTCCATCGCTCTCTACAACTCTCTCCCCGTCCAGGTATACATACATTTCCTCGTTTGCCCGGGGATGCGTCGTATACCGCGCGCTTTAAACTCCTTCAATTGCCGGATGGACGTATTTTTTCACGGCAGAGGATATATGCCATCGTCGAGTGAATTTAGGTGCCCTTACTAGCTGGCAGTGAATTTTCCGGGTTTTTCGGTTAATGTGTGCGTGCGTGGGCAAGATTTTCCGGTCCGCTGCGCTGATGCAAAAGAAAAAAAGTACCCTCACGTTTCATAAAGCACAGCAGTGATACAAGCATAAATCCGCGCACCTATGTATATTATGTACATATATATCCATGTTGTGCACAGCGGGGACTTTAAGCGTAAAGTAATTGTTTTTTTGTTAGTTCAAAGACGCGAGGGTTAACCTGTTGGAAAGAAGAAGAAGAAGAACACAGGGGCCATACGGACGGCGAAAAGGGCCGGTAATCCGCACTGATGATGAAATTTCCCCGGGGAGGATTATTCCGGCACGCCGAGGGAAAATCGAATGACAGGCGGCAAACAAAAGCTGGCGCTCATGGTTCCCGGGACACGGCGAAGCTTAAACGGGAGTCTTTCGAGTCTCCCCCTCCTCATCGAGTTTCGCACGATTCGTTAGCTGCCGCTCCTTGGAAAGGCTGGATGGTGATGATGTATACGTGTATATATATACGTATGGGTGCGGGGAACGAGGCGTACATACAAGGGGATTTTCAAAGACGGAGACTGCAGCTTCCGAAAGATGCCGAGCAAATAACGAGTTAGCGAGCGAGGGAAGTACAGCCGCGCGGGGGTGTAGTTTCCCCGTGTGTGGGGGGGAGGTCGCGCTTTCAGCGGCGTATAAGTGATTCGATTTCTCGCGATAAAAGGAGCCTCCTCGAAGCTCTCCGAGGGGGATGAGGTGCAGACGGCGCTGATGATCCGTTGCCGCGGGAACGCGTTTCGGCGCTTTAATTGAAGTTGCGAGATACTTGCCATCACCTCGTGGGGACTTACGCGCATGAGATAGATTTTACCAAGTTTTAATTGACGTGCACGTAGAACTTGTATAATTGCGTCGTAAAACTTAATTTCGGGTACTGCTGTGGACGTAAAAACGCTTATATGTATTCGTTCATCTCAAATTTCCCAAGATTAACGCGGAGATTATGATACGGTGATACACACATGTGGGGATTTTTTACGCGAAAAATCATTGTTGCATTCTGAGATAAATTAAAATGCTAGAAATAAGTTATCTCGAAGTCAAGTTGACTTGATTAGTTTGACCAAACAAATTAACATTCGAGGAAAAAAAAAAAAAAGAATGTTTCCCCAACACCGATTATTTCTTAATAAATTAATAAATTTCAAAGACACCAAAAAACATTGATTTATCCTTTTTTTTCCAGAATCCAACGAACAATTCACACGCATAATCAACACAACCCGCGACCTTAGCTACAATTAAATATCCTTCTAATTGACGACAATCCTCTCTCCCTCTCGCATACACCGCAAACCAAACAATATGCCAATACGATCCATGAGCTATAGCCTGCGAAAAACGATACCTCATAAGAGTGTGCGGTACAAGGACAAATATTTCTCTCACCACCCTCTTTTTATCTTTCGGCGCAAAACAATACTCGTTCCAAGGCTCGGAGTCATCATCCAGTGCACCCCGTCAAAGGAACTCGAGCAAACGATATAAGCCTCGTCTCACACAACTGCATCACCCATTAAAAAACGAAATCACCCACCCTATATATACAATATAGTATACCATATTGAAAAAAAGGGGCTCTCTCGATCCTCGTTTAGCCTTGTACAGAGACCGACTCGGCTACGTGCCCTATCGCGGAGAAGGGAGCCCGTTAAATCGTCGCTCGTGACCGTACATACAAAGTGCTCGTCACGAGTATAAGGGGGTTATACATGACGATGACGAGTGGGTATATAATATACATGACAGTAAACGGAGGGGGCCGACGACATAACTAATTTGACGTATGCGGAGCGACAAATGAAATTTCCTGCGTTACTGTACGGCAGTGCGATAGGCCGTCCATTTGCAAGTTATGCAAGGAGGTGTATGTGTACTGTAGTGGTGCGTGAAATTTTTCGCGGCCGAGGAGTGTAAAAGGGTATACGACAACGAAAGAGGGCGTGTGTCCCCTTCGAGAGGGAGGAATGGCAATTGAAATAAGTACTCGTTAATGAAGTCGAGGGTATTTAATTTGCGTGAATTCTCGTGGGGAAGGAAGAAATAGTAGGTCGGCGTGTACGTGGGGTGATTCATCGAACTTGACCGAAACCATTTAAAAATAAGAGTTTAAAACCGTAGAATTTGCAAACAATTTCAAGATTGGCGCTTAGCTCAAATGTGCACGTGCATGGGTGAGATGTCGTTTCGAGGCTGTAATGGGGCTCCTGTCCCCCGTTTATTTAGCTCCGGTCACGGGCCGTTTGCATTTATACGATCGGTCCCCACGGCCTCGTCCGTCAGCCCCTCGTTCGAGAATATCGAGTTTCTCGGGACGACTCGAAATCCGCGCTACTTTGCTTTCACTTTTATCATCACGTTCTGCGAAATCCTAGCTCCAACCTCGAGAGATTTATTTTACCATAAAAATGTACAAGTAGCCACTGGACTGTAGCTATATGGAAGTTCGTGGTTCGAGGCCCCTCTGAATGATTGGGCTGCTAAATGACGTTAACCCAATAGATCCAACATAAAAATTTATTTGATCGATGTGTTTTTTTTTTTTTTATCTTTACAAACGAGTCGACGTCAAGCTTGATCGAGAAAAGAAAGGATGTTGGGGGGGAGGAGTAAAAAAAAAGCTCACCTTTTCCCTGAGCATGTCGCGCACCCTGCTCGCCTGGTTCCTGCTACGGTGTAGCTCGAGTTGGAGCTCGAGGCACCTCTCCTGCCAATTGAGCTCCTCGACGGTGCTCGAGTAGCCATCGAAGCTCCTGGACGAGCCGTACGCCGGTTTCGGCTCGACCAGCCCCGTGCCGGCAACCGGATTGTGCCTCCCCGCCCCCATCGAGTAACTCCTCTCGAACGGACTCCTCAGATCGAACAGGGGCGACCTCGTGTTCTCGTAGGTGACCTCGCCCGAGTAGCAACAGCCGCTGTCGAGGCTCCCCGGCTGGTTGGACGATCCGGCAAACTGGTACACCGGCGGCCTCTTGTCCTGCACGTACTCAACGTGGCCGCTCGGCTCCGAGCTAAAATTGAACGGGTCCACGCCACCCCGGCCACCACCAGCACCGAGTTTGTTGCTGCTGGTGTCCTTGAGCTCGACGTAGCCGGCGCTCTTGGCGCTCTCGGCGAAACTCTTGTCCTTGTGGAACACGAGGTTCGAGACGTTCACGTACGGCGAGTCCCTGTAGTGCACGGGGCTGTTGTTGTTCCTGGGCCTCGGGGGCGGGGCCGGGCCCTGCCTGCCCCTCCTCGGCACTAGGCGGGGGCTGTCCGGTCCCCCAGTGGGGGTAGTTGTGGTGTTAACCAGCGACGGGTGGTCCTGTAGGGACGAGGGCCCCGAGGCGGATGGACAGCAGGAGGGGTCGTGGTGGCGGGAGCCGAGGCGCGGGCTGCACGGGGCCGAGGAGGAGCTAGCGGTGAGCTCCGAGGTGAGCCTGGCTATGGGGTCCAGGATCTGGGAAAGCCGGCGCGACGACGCGGGCGAGCCGCGCACCTCCTCCATCCTCGTGGCTCCAATTATTCCAAGCGCATGGTGGCCTCGTCCGCTTCTGGTCTGTCGGCTACTGTGGGCTGGCCACTCGCGTGGAGAGCAGCGACCAATGGGCCGGGTCGCATGTCGGTGGTGATCCCTCACCGGCCTCGCCCTCGGCTTGCGCTGGTGATGCTGCGGCTACTTGTGTCCGAATGACCAGGGAGCCGATGGAGACCGCTGCGAGTCATGGCTTGCTCCGGACGCCTGCGAGCAGAAAAATATCGTCGATTTCATCAAGATGAGTTATCATTATATTTTATTGTGTAACAAATGTGTAAATATATATGTGTGTGTGTGTGTGTGTGTGTGTGTGTAGCTTCGAGGGTGCAATATGTATGTTTCATGGTTGTCATAAATACGAGATTTCGTGATTCGCGAATAGAGTTGTACACAAGAGTGCATAAGATATATAATATTGTATGTGAGACATGGGTAGTTTGACAGCAAAAGAGAGCAAGAAGCATTATAGCGCAGATATATACAAGATAGGGGGTATCGACATTCCATCCGGGGGTCAGGAGGGAGGGACATTTCGCAATCAAGTGCGTGCACAGGCATATATTTATATATACACCCCCTATACTATAGGCACGCAGGCGTTCACTTTCTCGAGAGGGATATAAGTATCTCATGATGGTGTGTCGTGTACAGTAGATTGAATAAAAAAAAAAAAAAAAAAAAAAAAAAATGAATCTCGTTTCGTGATATGACCTTGAACGCTCGTACTTTATATACAAAGCCATGCTGAGCGAGCGATGATAAGCCGATTATGCAAATCTCGATTTTGTCGTTTGTATATAAAGTGTGATACACAGGATATATACGTTTCGAGGATTAATTTGAGGCGAGGAGCTGTTGTTGGCACTGGGAAATGGCGTTTGTTGAAATTGATAGTGCCCCCACGTAACTATACCATTTCTGCTGTAGACATCGCACGTAAATATCGCCTATAGCAATTGTGATTTTGCTCGATTGAAATAGATCAAGTTTTGCAAAAGCAGTGTTGACCCTACACGTATACACACACACACACACACACACACACACACACACACACACACACAAAACACTGTAGGAACGACAAAAACCATCTGTGCAACATCTGTCACTGGTAAAACAAGTTTACCGTGGCGTTAGAAGTAGAGCAATCGACTCTGCAAACAAGTGCATTTATGTTACATACGGAGCAAAAGGAGCCCCCCCGAAAATAAGCCAAAACAAACATCGACGCGTTACACGCACTTGCAGAACCACAACAGCGCGTTTCAGGAGGGAGAAGGTAGGGGGCAAAAAATGAGTCCTCTTCAGCCGAAAAAACACGAGTCCCTTCGCGGTATTATATACACGAGGGGCAAGGTCTCATCCTTTTTTTTTGGCAGGGTCGCGGGGTGAAACGGAGCGCGCACCGAGTGTTTGCGCTACTAAATTGAAAGCTGTAACTCTTCCGGTGCTTTCCCCCCTCAGGCAGTATGGGAGGAAAAATACAGAGAAAAGTCTGCGGCCCCAAAGGAAGAGAGAGAGAGAGAGAGAGAGAGACAATGGTCTACGAGAGCAATTATACACTCGCTCGCGCGCCGAAAATGTGTTTGGTCCATACCCTCCGCGCCTCGTTATTAAAGTACTTATACTAATTTCTCCAAGATCTTTCGTCACGGGGTGAGTGCAGCACTGTCGCGCATATATATACCTTACAACTCCGGGATCATAGCGACTAATCCAAGGGAGGAACCATACCGTGATGTAAAATATGCCTGCAATAAGCGCACGTGTACAACGCACCCGGGACACTAAGTCTACGCTGTGTACTTACATATATATATTTTATTCTCCGGGAGGGGCTAGTTTAATTAACTCTTGATGAATTTTTTTTTTCCCCCCTGCACCAAACGCTTTTTTTTCCGTCAGCGGGGGAAAGAAGTGGCGGACCACGAGTCGAGCGGACAAAAGTATTCACTGCTATATATATACAATAACCCGCAATAGGTAGTACTTACGTAACAAAACGATGGGTATATACGATGGCCCATCGAGAGCTGAACATGTCGCGTAACACGTGTCCCCCTAAATCTCCGATGTGCAAAAAGAAGCTACTTGCGAGGAATATCCTTTAGCGTGTGCATCACGCAATTACAAATTGAGAGCTATATACGTGCAGTGCACACGCTGGGTTTAAAATAGACCGGAGGAAGAAGCGCGTTCGGGGCCCTCCCTCGAGAGAGACTCTGGTAACTTGTATGGGCGGGCGAGCGAGTATATAATAAATATACAGATAGCCGAGTAATCGAATCAGAAGACGCGGACCGAAGTCGTTCGCTCGAGAATTTAAACATCAAAGGGATGAAAAAGGGAGGGAGGAGGGATTATAAGTGCAGAGAAGGACCCACAGAGAGAGAGGGCATGGTCGTTGTTTTCAGGGAAAACAGCAATTACACCGCGACGCCTCGGCTGCGCCCGGAAATGAATCTTCCTCTCGTCTCTCGTGGAGGAATAACAACAACACGCCTCAGGGCACGACACGCTACACCCACAGGGCGCAGGAGCACGCGTCTCTTTTGTGTTTTTGTGCACATATATATGATGTGTACGGGCTGGATATATATATATATATATATATATATATATATATATCCCTTGACGCGAGCAAATAAGTGTACCCGAGACGCGCTGTTTCATCTTACCTCGTCGTCCGTCACGCGCAATCGCGGGAGAAACGGAGATTATTCGCTCTTTCGTGTATACTTCCCTGTGGGACACCCGAGGATGTAGCTTTTAGGACGAGTTGGGAGAGAAAAAAGAGAGAGCCGCTGGCTAATATGTTGTTGCTTCGATGTTGCTTTGTACAAGTCCATCATTAACGCTAATTTCCATAAGTAGCGGGGGAAAGGCGATATACCTGTGTGTACTCCGAGGGGGGGGGGGTTTCAATATCAGCGGACGGGCAGCAGCTTATCGGGCAAAATGTATTATTTACGCCGCTGCGGGATTTTGTGTGAATCCCATGAACCGCGGATACAACGGAAGTGCATTATTCTTTTATTCATGGATCTGTACCTGCACCGTGGATTTGAGTATGCAGTGTGTGCGTGGTGGCTGCTGCTATACTGTCTGGCCTACATAAAATAAAACACAGACGTGGGCGAGGATTATACTTTTTCAATTTTTTTTTTTTTTTTTTTTCCAATTCTTACTTGTGATAGTGCTTGACAACGTTTTTTTCAGCAAAAAAACGACGTATTAAAACGTTTGAAAGAGAAAATAATTAAAAAGAAAAAAAGAGTCAAAATATTTCAAAATTATATAAATATTTTCGATGAACTGTAACATCAAAAGAAACTTTTAACAAAAAAATGCAATTCATTTAGAAAAATAACTGTTTTTTAGAGTGTTTGGAAATTTGAAGAAAAAAAACGTGTGCCCAAGTCTGCATGTACATAATATTATATACTACGCTGCAATGATGAATCGCACACACGATGTCTATTAATTTCATTACCATATGAATCGACGGTTTGGGAATATAAAAAATGCTACCTCAAAATCATTCTATTTTGGTATCACTTTGGAAACGCTTCTATTGGAAAATGCAATCAGGATACTTTTTGAGAACAAGGGTACTTGAGTTTTGCGATTTTTTCTTCTTATTTTTCTTTTTTTAGAACAACAGTGGCAATGGTTCTGTGAAGAGTGGGAGAATCACCACATTCTCTCCGAGAGTCATCGATAATGCAACTAAATCAAGCTTGACGGTTTCTCCCCGAATAACTTCCAGGGGAAAAGTTCGTCCTCTCTTGTGTCCCAAAAAAAGACTTTTGCAAAAAGGGATTCGAGAAAAAAAAATCCAAGAATTTGAATTTATATTGAATTTTCGTCGTTTGCCACACTTTAATACGCCCGCAGCGCCCAGGTATAGGCTATACGTAGCGGAGCACGGGAAAAGAGAGGCGCCGCGATTTGAAAGGCAATGAGCGGCTGTGTACATCACGTGGCTGGCCGTGCAGTGTGTGCGTGTGCCACCACCGTCGCCGCCTTGGAAACTGAAACTATTTTCATCAACTCGACTAAAAATACATCGACGCTCCGGTCTTATGCAATCTCTTGCCCCTCGCCCTTTCCCCGTCCCGGGAGTTTGCCCATATAGTCCAGTGGACGCTAGCTCCTCTTCTATCGCCTTTTACACCCATAGAAACCGGAAACTACGAAATCGCAGTAGCTTTTTTTACAATTTTTTTCCCTCCGCAAATACGAAATCGTTGTATCACCGGAAAATCCAACAAAAAAAAAAATCACGCCCTCGTTTAACACGGAAAATAAAATAAAGGGTTTCGGGTCTTTTTTTTTTTTTTTTTTTTGTCGAAACATTTTTACACTAGACTCCGCACGGCTGCCTTTTTCCACCAAATACGGGAGCTCCGGGCGAAACTCGATTCAAACGCTCAAAAGGTCCAAAAGAGCCTTTCTTCCGGAACTTTTCGGTCGAGGCCGAAAGAACCCCCCGAGAAAAGGATAGCGCCCATTGTACGCGCACACAATCCCAGCTGAACCAACAATCGGGGAAAATTTTTGTACGTTTTCACCCTCCAGCTAATTTCCCCCCGACCGAAGTAATTTTTTAATCGACATCCGCGCAAAGGAGCCGACATCGAGAGGCAAAAAAGAAAATTTTCTTCCCGGCCCCGAATTACAAGTTTGCCAATCAGCAGGAGAACGGAATTTTTTCCTTCCCGCCCCGCTTACTCGTCGCGCGCCTAATTTCCCTGATTCTCGCATTAAATCGACCCTCCCGGGAGTCGAGCCGAGGAAAAAAAAAAAAAAGAGACGGTATTATATGCGTGATGAGGTGAAGGGAAACGCAGCGAAATCACCGAGCGTTAAAGTGGAGGGCCTAATCGATCCCCGGTCTTAACTCCTAATTGTAATAAAATTACGTATTCATAGGAAAGAGGACTTGGCTTCTCCTCTACTTTTTATATGCGTATCGGGACGTCAGCGAGAAATGAATTTTTTAATAAGCCCGAGGGGCTTGTCCGAACCATCGGGAGCCTCGCCATTAATTTTTACTCAACCCGGTCGGGGGAACGCGAAACTCTCGCGAGCGATTGAAATCTCTCGCAACTATGGGTAACTTGTATCGGGTTTTTTTTTTTTTTTTTTTTTTTTTTTTTCGAGCTACAGATAACCCCGTTCCAGCGAACGTGTATCCCGTT